AATCAGAGAAGATATATGAAAAATCTGGTCACCTTTTCATTTTTCTTTAAAAATTGTTTAAATATTTTAGCAACACATTAAAGATATCTAACATATACACGCTTCGTGTTTGGAACTTTTTGGATACTGCCTATCTTATATATTCTTATTAAATTAATTTCCTTTTCAGCAATAAAATCTAATCTATTGCAAAACTTATACGTGCGCGATCGTCATTGTCGCTATTGCCCTCGTTTGTCGCTGCCGTGTCATTATCGCGACCAGTAATCAGCAATATTATCTCATCAGTCCAGTAAAGAGTATATGTGTACTTAAAGATCGTCTACTTCCAGCGATGATGGCATTTTCTGAATTTGTACATTTAAACTTCTTTATTTTGTCTGGACGTCAATTTTATTTCTGTGTCATTCATAACAAGTAAGTTAAGACAAAAAAATCTGATATAGGTACAAATAACCCAGATAGCCACAGTAATTATTATGACATCATTTTGATGTAAAAATGCATCATTTGCCATCAAAATGATGCATTTTGATGTCATAATAATTACTGTGGCTATCTGGGAAAAAATAAAATTGTTTAATCATTATTTTGTGGAAATTAAGTCAAAATAAAATGTATTTTTGTAAATATAAGTATATATGTAGGTATCAGACAGAGAGAAAAAATTATACATTAGAAAATGTTTTCCGCACTTATCTAATTATCTAGAAAATTGTTGCTTCTTGATTTAACTTTTTTACATACAAGGTAAATCTCAAAATTCTCGGGATTATTAACGTATACATTCACTGAAGCGAATTTAAACTTGTTTAAAATGATTAATAAAATGTTATTTTTTCATCTCAAATATAAGTTTTTTATCTAAAATATTTTTATTTGTATACTTAGCATTTTTTCTTATTATTTCTTGCAAGAGCTTATTAAACCTGTCAACTTAATCGTCGAATCGATGGAGAATAAGATCGAGCTGTTACGTTATCTAATCGACGAGAGGTGTGATCGAGAATTTCGATCGTTTTTTATCTCATTGCATGTCTCGAGAGTGTGCGAATTCTAATAAAGCGTTCTTCTTAAGAACGCGTTCTTAATCTCACAAATACGAATGCATAAAAAATTCTTTCTGGGAGTTTCGGAACGATGATCTTTTCACCATCATTTCATCATTGCAACACCTATTCAGTAGCAATTGTAACTAAATTTAGTTGGATACTGGTATGCCACTGATGCATATTAAAGCTTATCATGTATGAAGAACCCCACATTAATCCTATATGAAATTGCATCTCAAAAATCAACTGATTTTTTCATTTATGTACAATATATATTGATCTGCAGTCAAATAATACTCGCAAAGTTTAAATTTTTTGTGGTTGATTGATTGTAAGTCAGTAATTATGTTTATTAATTACCTTTGAGACTATTACATTTTTTGTTTAACAGATCATAAGTTACATTAGTTACAACATATGAAAAAATCATTATTTTACTAGAATTCAATTTCATATAGAAATTAATAAGAAGATCGTTATTTATATTGAGTATTTATAATATTATCTTATTATTTTAAATTGTAAAATACAGCAATGTGTGCATTAGTAGCCAACCAAATTCGCTCTAAATTACTATTTGTCAAATGTGGTCGAACTAAAAATGATTACACTCACGTTGCATTAAACAATTCGATGCAAGTCCTGTACGTGGGGAGATAAAACTACCCATATAGCACAAAACTCAACAGAAATGTTGCAGAAACGTTTCAAAGTTTCAAAAAGTTTCTAAATAACACTAAAACGTCATTAGAGCATTTAAAAAACATATAGAAAACGTAACATTTGAAACGTTTGTGCAATCTTTCATAAACGTAAATGCGTGACGAAATAGCGAACATTTTCATGTATCTAACATCGGAAGTGACTCTTATCGATGTTAATGAATTTGAAATATGTTTTATAAAGCATTGAAAAATATTAGACCCGTATATTTTTTAGCTGCGTATCTCGACATTTGGAGAGTAAACCCCCTTGAAAAAATCGGTATTTTTTATTTCTGAGCTAATACCGTCGAAACGGTAAAAGATGTTTCAAATAAATGTTTCAAATAACAGTTTCAAATAACAGTTTTATGATTTTTAATGTTCTTTAAAACAGTGTAATTAAATTTTTAAAAATGTCAAATTCCTCCCTCTCCATAATTTGATTGCACTCTTTTGAAGAATATTAAAAACTATATAACTTTTATTTGAAACATTTTTTTTATATTTTTTTACCGTTTCGACGGTATTAGCTCAGAAATAAAAGAAACGGATTTTTTTCAAGAAAGTGTTTTACTCCCTAAATGTCGAGATACGCAGCTAAAAAAATACGGGTCTAATATTTTTCAATGTTCTAAAACTTATTCCAAGTTTATTAAAATCGGTGAGGGTCATTTACGATCGTTCCCTTGTTATATGAGACATTTTTTTAGTAAATTTTGTGAAGGTTTCTAAAAGATTTTGTGCTATGTAAGTATAAACATAGTTATAAACTTTGTTTTTTAAGACGTAAAAGGTTCAATAACAATCATTTTGCTTAGGAAACATAAATAATTAATCACACACTTAATAAATGTGGGCTATCGGCGTTGTACATACACGATTCCGAAAAAACGTAATTGTCTAATAAAATCAGGAAAAGACAAAATAATTAATGTGAACAAAACGAATGTTGTGTATAAAATTGACTGTGCAAATTGTGACGCTTCATATATTGGACAGATAAATCGTCATCTCAATACGTGTGTAAAAGAACATTAAAATAACATTAAATTGTATGATAGCAACCATAGTGTGGTCAGCAAACATAGGACAGAACATGAACATGATTTTTTGTGGTTGAATCCGGCGGTTTTGCATTGTGAGGCACACACGAAAAAAGAGATGCAGAAATATTTTATATTAAAAACATGACAATACAATTAATTTACATAAGCACACGGAAAATTTAAATCCTGTACGACAAAATAATAATCACTTGAAAAAAAACTTTTAAATAAACATTAGGTTGCCTCATTTTGTTTCTCGGCTGTTTTTGTCATACATGACTTTACAGACTTTCATACGTCACTTTACAAAGTCAATTTAAGTGCGAAGCATCTATTTTAATATTTGACAATCTTTAATATGTGTGAAGGGAATTCTGTTGCGGAGTTCTCAGGCGATCATGATTTATTTAATTCATTATAATAAGATATTATAATTTGTGATTGGATATTCTCTTATAATTGTACTTTTTAACAAAAAATCTTTTGTCTGTACTCGTAGCTCACTTGAAAAGGACCGAAATCAATAGTCGAAACGTCGTGATCTATTTTTATGTAACCATAGCCAGTTTGGTCGTATATGAATAAAAATAAATAATTTTTATCATCACTGGCGATTCAAATTTTTTATTTGATAAATAATTAATATTAATTCTCGTTTTATATTTTATATTTAAATGTATTAGCACATTTTTCAATAATAACCTACTTTTCTAATAATAACCAATCAATGTTTCTTCAAGATGGCGACAAATGCTTCCTTTTTCCTTTACTTTCCTTTAAAATAAATAAGTCTTTTAAAAATGTGATTATTTGTGTTTAATTTATAAATAATTGAATAATAGATTAGTATTGGATAAATATATAAACTCTTTTTGATTTGTGAAATAATACATAGTTGTAAATCTTGGCCAATTATTGTAACATCTATTTTCGTGATAGAAAATAATTCTAGACGAATACGCGTGACTCAATTATAGTAAAAATGCTAGCAATATGACAGTATGCCAGCAAACTCAATTATATTATAACAGCAGATTTTAGTGTGCTTTGCCATTAAATTTGGTTTCTAATAACACAGTTTGAAAATACAATATGACAGCAAAAATGTAACAAAAATTGTGTTGCCATCATGACGGCCGTAGCAATAATAGAGTACGATTTACTTTATTTACCAATTGACAGCATCTAGTATATACAGTTATATTAATATAACTATGACAAAAATATAACTAAATATTATTAAAGCTCCTGAGTTTTCGCCGCGGCCATGTTGAATTGTGACTTCAGAGGCGAGAAAGCACACGCTGAAAATTCTTCAATGTCATTTTTAAATGAAAAGATATTTCGTTGAAACACTATTTCAGATGGCTTTAGCATACTTTAAAAATACCTCGAAAACTATACTTTTCCTTTGACAGTCAATCAACAATCGTAAAATGATCGTGATATTAAACTTCGTCATGCTACTTTTCGAGATATTTTAAGAGTGTGTGCTGTTTCATTAAAATATCTTTTTATTTCGAAATAGCATTTAACAATAAGAATTTTTAGCGTGTTTTCTAGCTTCTGACATAATTTTGACATAGTCGGCGAGAGCCTAGTAGCTTTAATAACTATAAGTATTATTACACATAAATGCATGTTTTATTATAGTTATTACTTATTAAATTGTAATTATTGAGTGTACTTGTAATTTTAAATTTGGCAGACGTACTTGCCAAAGTCTGTCGTAAATAAAAAATATTTAAATTTGAAAAATAAATATTTCTAAACTTAATATGATTTTTTTAATCAATAAAATGCTGTTCAATTTTGATATATAATTACAAGAAATGGTGATTTTGTTGGATCTGTATTAATATAATTGTGATTATACCAGGCGTGTTCTACATTTGCTATATTTTTACCATTATAACGAAGCAACAGACTGCTCAATCTCTGCTGTGTTCCTACTGTATCAGTATCTGATCACTTTGCTTAATATTTATTAACACTAAGTAATATTTGCTATATCTTACACGATGTAATAGTAAATACTTATACTGCTATTACGTAATTCAAACTAATTTCTTTATTGACAAATATATAATTTACATATGTATATTATTCTTATTATTATTTCAATCTTATAACAAAATTATGTATTTATTTTCAGATATAAAATCTATATATACATATATATATATATATAGGCATTTATATATTATATATATATAATATATACATACGAAAATATGCCGGAAGAGCAAAAGGTCACTGGTGCTCCGACGGAAGCAATGGCGGAAAATGGAACCGGAACAAACTCGCCTACCAAGAGTCCGGTTAGCAAAGGAAAAATGACTCTTGCCAAAATTACCCTTCTAGATGGTACTATACGAGATTTCTACATCGATGTAAGTGTCTAAAAGTATTTTTAACGTATAAGACGGGCAACAAGAGCCAAATCGCGGATGACAATGCGTTGTTCTAACGAAACTAAATAATTTTTCGTTAGAATTAAATACCGGTGCACAAGGCACCAAATTTTTACTTGGACACGGCCAAGATTTTAAATATGAAATAATCTCATATTTTGAGATTTAATTTCAATACCCTTTAACCCCCCTACGGAAAATAAATAAATGAATGCAAGAGAAAATATAGATCCGAAAATCGCTGAATCGGGAATCGAACCCGAGACCTTTCGTTTGCCGGGCGACTGCTCTTCCAGCTGAGCTATTCAGATCCTTTCGATTTTATACTTTTCTCCGTTATATATATTAATGTTGGTTCAGCGATTTTCGGATCTATATTTTTCTCTTGCATTCATTTATTTATTTTCCGTAGGGGGGTTAAAGGGGTATTGAAATTAAATCTCAAAATATGAGATTATTTCATATTTAAAATCTTGGCCGTGTCCAAGTAAAAATTTGGTGCCTTGTGCACCGGTATTTAATTCTAACGAAAAATTATTTAGTTTCGTTAGAACAACGCATTGTCATCCGCGATTTGGCTCTTGTTGCCCGTCTTATACGTTAAATTTATATTTATATTACAGAGCCTTGTTAAAACTCTTATATTTAAAAGTATTTTGTTTATATTTATTATATGCATCAAATTTACATTCTATTTATTTGATATTAATAATATAAATATATTGAATACTCAAATACTTAATGATAGATACATATATATTTAATTTTTTTGTTGCAGAGAAAGGCGAGAGGGCAAGAACTTCTCGATATGGTTTGTCAAAGCATGAATTTGCTGGAAAAAGATTATTTTGGTCTTATCTATGAAGACCGACATGATTCTCGCAATTGGTTGGATCTTTATAAAAGAATCATAAAATTTATAAAAAGTATAAACACTATGAAAAAATTATATTATACAATGATAGGTAATAGTATGTTAGAGTACTTCTTCTAAAGTTAATATATGATTTTAGCTGAACCATGGAAGTTCAATTTTGAAGTGAAATTTTATCCACCGGATCCAGCCCAATTGCAAGAAGATATTACGCGTTATCAACTATGTCTACAGATCAGAAACGATATTATTACAGGTCGTCTACTTTGTTCTTTTGTGACACATGCTCTCTTAGGCTCCTATCTGGTTCAGTCAGAAATTGGAGATTATGATCCTGAGGAACATGGAAGGTCATATTTGAAAGACTTTAAATTTGCACCTAACCAAACACCCGAATTAATCGAAAAAGTCATGGATCTTCATAAAACACATAAGTTAGTTTTATTTTACATAAACAATTGATTTTTATTTATGGAATGAGAAAAAATAGATTATTTAATGAAATAATATTTTTTGCTATATTTTAGGGGTCAAACACCCGCTGAAGCAGAGCTGCATTATCTCGAAAATGCGAAAAAATTAGCTATGTATGGCGTAGATCTTCATCCTGCAAAAGATTCGGAAGGGGTTGATATCATGTTAGGAGTATGCGCTTCAGGCCTTCTGGTTTATAGAGATTGTTTAAGAATTAATAGATTCGCCTGGCCAAAGATATTAAAAATATCTTACAAAAGGCATAATTTCTATATTAAAATTAGACCAGGTGACTTTGAACAATTCGAATCTACAATTGGATTCAAATTGGCAAATCATAGAGCAGCGAAAAATTATGGAAAGTGTGCGTGGAGCATCATACTTTCTTCAGGTGAGTAATAATTGTAAGCAGTATATTTTTTTAAATTTTGATGCTTTAAATTTGAAACAAATAAATTTTTATTTTTATAGACTTATGAGTCCAGAACCTGTGAAGAAAGTGGGATAATTCCATATTTGGGATCTCGTTTCCGATATTCTGGCAGAACTCATTACGAACGAAGAAGAAAACTCCTATTGATAGACAACCTCCTCAATTCGAGAGATCTTTAAGTGGCCGACGACTCGCATCTAGAAGCATGGATGGTGAATAAAGTTTTTATCACTTGCGAATAATATCCAAATACAAATGTATGATATAATAACGATGATTTAATGGAAACTTTTCAATTATTATAATTGGAGGATGGAGTAGTAATTCTGTCTGGAATATCTCCGCTATTTTAAAAGAAACAAAAATATTGTAATGAAAGTTGTACAGTATCAAGATAGTCATAATATGCTAGTAATAATTATTTTATGGGAGGCATTTGAGATTTTGAAGTCATTATTACTTTTTAAAATGAAACCACTGCAATTTTCTTATATAAATTGATTCCTTATAATATTTGACGTAAAAAATTATTAAAATAGAATTGAATAATCGAAAAACGAACGGTTATGAAGTATTTTATGCTTTATATTTTGTTTTATTTTATGCTTTATTAGGATAAAAATATAAAATATCTAATATAAATATATGTAATGTATTTTTCGGTAACCTTAATAATTTTCTGCATGAGATAATAAGATAAATTAATTAGTATAAGAAAGACATATTCTTTATGATTAAAAAAATTGTAACTAGTAATTACATATTATTTCTTAAGGACAACCATGTTGTTTTTCTTTATACTAATTAATTTCTCATTATTTTATGCATAAAAATTATTGAAGTAAGATCATCGAAAAATGAATATTTCACGAGGTATTTTATAGTTTACATAAGATTATGTCACACACAAATTGAAGTATAAAATATTTCATAAACTTCACTTTTTGGTCATCCTACCCTACTATAACATTTTATTGCTAAATATTACAAGGAATTGATTTATACGAAAACATTATAATGGTTCCACTTAATAAAAAAAAATGAATGAGGTCCCCTTTTGTACCTTAAAAGTTTCAACATTTTTTTTATCTATAAATGTTTAGATCTTTAGATGCCCAATTTAATTTTTAAAAATTTAAGTTAATATCTCGGCGACACAATGGACTTGTCTGCGTGCCTTGGGCAGAGCTTCTATAAAAGGTTCTTCCCCCCCATCTCGTATTATTAAGTTAATATCTCTAGCAGTAGCGGAGAAAACAACTTGTAACATTTTATGTGAGATATCCTGTATGTGTATGTATTAGACAGATATCTGATTTAAAAGTTTCCTATTAAGGCATCCATAAGCATGTGTTTTTAATATTAGAGTGGCATTATTAATATTCAATCTTTCAATTTTAAAACACTATTTTCCTTTCTATGAGATATTTTCAAAATCTATTAAACCACAAGTGCCTTTTTATAATTATATTTTTAAGTCTGCGATACTAAAGATGTTGAAGTAGTGTGACTGCCTTGTATAGCATTAGGTGGGCCTAAATCAGTTGAAACGTATGGTTCCGAACCAAGCAAACGGCATACTATGAGTTATGAGCCTGAGACGCTTCCTGATGATATAGAGCATATAGACCGACGGCCTAGCCCTATCAAGAAACAAAAAGAAAAGGTAATATATTTATATGTTTTTATTTTGATTGTTCATGTATTTATATTAGAAAGAGAGATGAGTGAGTGAATGAGTGAATGAGTGAATGAATGAATGAATGAACGAATGAATGAATGAACGAATGAACGAATGAACGAATGAACGAATGAACGAACGAATGAATGAATAAGTGAGTGAGTGAGTGAGTGAATGAGATAGGGCGAAAAGGAGGAAGAGAAGAAGGGGATGGAGGGAGGGAAAGAAGGAAGGAAAAAACATTCTTTTATAATTATTAATTGCTTGAATGTAGAGTAGATATAAATTTCGTCATGTAAACGTAAAACTGCAAAATCATATCAAATTTATAAATTATGTATTTTTAAATCCTATATATGTTTTTATATTAATTATTTAATTATTAAGAAAACGATTTTTATAATAACTATTAATGAAGAAATATGTGATGTAATGTATAAATTTTATGATAAGTAAAATTGCAACAAATTTTATACAATATTTTTGCAAAAGTTTTTATCAGTAAAGTCATGGAACATCAATTACATGTTTTCCATATTGAGTCAGTAAAGGCTGAGTGATTGACTCTACTATCTTTTACATTCATTAATTTTTTATTGATTGTATCAATTTACAATACATTGATTCGCTTATTTATATTACATGTTAACATACACTATATATTATAGAATAAGATGACAAATTTTATGATTTATTGATTTTTCTTAACTTTTATAATAACTTAAAATTTTTATTCTATAATGATTTAAAATTGTTTTATGTTTTAAATGAAAGAAAAAAATTGTGATAAATTTAAACTTGACTAAAGCCATTTTTCAAGGTTATGTCAAGAGATCAATCTTGTTTTTTTTTTTAAATAAAAAGAAGTTTAAAACATTTCAAATTTTAAAAGCTCCCTCAATTTTGCGTAAAAACCTTAATTGTAAGACATATAACTTCAATAGTAAAAATATAAGAATTAAAATTAGATATAAAATTATTAATGCTCGCATGTAGGAATGTGTGCATAGGTGCGTTGTGTTAAATAGATAGGTGTATCTATATTCTAATTCTTAACGTTATTCAGGATCACGACGATGACGTGACGTGGGTATCCGGTCCGTTTAGGGTGTTTTATTAGCGTGAGTCCCTTTAACTCTCACGTTTGAAGTGTTTGATTACCATTAGTTTTTGTTCTCACGTTGAGATACTTGATTACCGTGAGTTTTTTTATTTCTCCATGTGTATGTGTCTAATCATCAATTAAATATTTCTTTTGTCTTTACGCGCGAAGAATTGTTTGAAACTATTTATCTCTAGTTTAAAATTTTATGGGGAATTTTTCTGCGGATTATATATTATATGTGTATTCGCTATAAAAGAAGGCCATTAAAATGTATCATAATTTTTTGGACATCTTTGAATTGTGATAATTCAATAATCATTGAATTGAGATAAACCAAAGCTTAAATTAAAACTTATATATTTTTCTTAATAACCCAAAAAACAAAAATTAAATTATAAAAATGTTTTACAAAATAGCGAACTTTGAATATAGATATTGAGAAGGGGAAAAAGTGTCTGTTTAAAATTTTTGCATAGCTTAAGCTTAGGGAAATCGGCTCTTAGTACAAAAATATTAATTTTTAAGCTCATTTATTTCTTAACAAATCCAATTTTAAATATTTTTTATGGCCTTTTGATAATATTGTGTTAAAGAAAATGTTACAAAAATGGTTGTGTAAAATTTGCAATTCAGAAATAATTATCATGAAAAACTTTAAAAAAAAAAATTTTAATTTAATGCTAAATAATAGCTTATTTTAATGCTAAATAACTTCTAAACTATTGGTGCAAAATTGAGCACTTTTTGGAATTTGCTAAACAATACTTCTGTCTTTTAAAAAGAAAAAACGTTAACTTTTATATAATTATCTTGAAAAAATGACTTTAGTTAAAATTTTAGATCAGCAATTTTTCTTGTCTTTCAAAATCTATAAATTTTATCTGAAATAGTTTGCCTGCTGCGAACTCAGTTTTCAAGATATTCAATTAGACTGTTTAAATGGAACATTATGTGTAATTTTACATATCTACCCATGTAGATATAGTTGAATCTATAATAAGAGCAAATTTTCCAAATGCTTGCTACAAATTATTATCAACAAAATAGCTACGAATTTAGTGTAAGAATTATTATTGAATAAGTCGGCAGATGTCGATATTATAGAAATCTAATAATTAGATCTGCTAATATAATCTGAAGCCTGACATCAGATTGACGATAGAAAACAGCAGAATTTAACGTAGAATCTGACGTTGATTATTGTATAGTAGAATCCAAACAGAAGGTGTCATTTTACTGTTCAATTAT